TCTTCCCCTATATATATAGTTGGGGGATTTGATGATAGACCCCTCAGTGTTTAACTTGTCATTCAAAAGGACAAGAATTATATAGATCTTTTCAAAACCCCCTAATATTTTAAAATTTATACTATAATACCCTCATATATATGTGTGTGTATGTATTTATTAACTTGTAATCACTGTCTCTCATTTTAATCTCTCTTCTCTTTGTTTCGCACTTATCACTATTCTCTTCATTGGTGCCATCGCTGTTCTCCATCGACACCACCACCACTCACCATGGAACTCTTTCTCTACCGTCTTCATCACCACCATCATTTGTTACATCCACAACTTCAAATCTGAGATTATTCACAATTGTTGTAGCCGAAAAATGACAATTTGTGACAATTTGCAAACCTCATATCTAAGATTCTTTACACACACTCTCTCTCTCTCTCTTTCTTTTTCTTCTTTTTCTCTTGATTCTTTGTTTTCGAACTCTGTCTCTTTATCTCTCATTCTTGTTCTCATGATGCTCTGTTCTTTCAACAGTAAAATTTTACTCTGGTTCATGACACAAAACTCTCCTATAAAGCCATCATCGCAGCTTATTTCAGAGTAAATTTTTATTCTGTACTTAAAAAAAAAAAAAGAGAGAGAGAGTAAAATTTTATTTTGAATCAAAGTAAAATTTACTATGATTCAAAGTAAAATTTTACTATCATTAAGTAGATTAGTGTGTTGTTAACCAAAGTAAAATTTTACTATTATGAAAACATAGTAAATATTAAATTAACGAAATAGAGTCAAATTTTACTTTTAGATCTATGAATAAACAAACAAAAAACTCTTAATTTTCCATTACAATATCTCGATTTCTTATTTTTCTATCAAATCTAAGTTTTTTTTATTTTTCATCTCTGATCTAAAGTTTTTTTTGGATGAATACTGATTTAAAGTTATTAATCTCAAATATGAGTTTGTAGATATCAAATCTGAGATGGTGGTGGCTTAACAGTAAAAATGGTAGTTGTCGGTCGACGGTGAGGATGAGCAACACTGATAGAAGATGCAGATGGTGAGGATGATGAACAACCATCAAGTTGGTAGAGAGAGAGACAGAGAGAGAGAGTTGTAAAAGAAATGGAAGAAATAGAGGGTATAATGATCAAATAAAATATTCAAATAACAAATTTTGTCCTTTATATAGAATTTTATAATTATAAGGGGTTTTGAAAGTACTAAATTTTTTTTTCCTGTCCTTTTAACAAGAAAAGGAAGCTAAGAGGGGTTTATGGCTAAATTTCCCTATATAGTATGCGCTGTATAGCAAACCATCCCCTTCTTCTCTCTCTTCCTTCTCTTCTCTGTTCTGCAGCTCTACCGTCATCATCTCATCCGTGCCGTCGTCATCTCCATCTTATAACCAAACCCTTCTCTCTCTCTCACACCTCATCTCCCTCTACTGACAAACCACCATCCCGTTGTCGCCTTCATCTGCTCCCTTCTCTCATCTTTTTTTTAGATCTTTGCCGTCGTGCTCTAAATCTAAATTAGATTGCTTCATTACCACACCTCTTCCTCCTTCGCCGCAATACCATAGACCGCCGCTTTCTCATTTTTCAGCCATCTCGTCGCCCTCCTCTAGGCGTTCCACTGTTGTTTCTCTTCTTCTCTCGAACTAGAGTTCCGTCATTTATGAGAAAGCGAGTGTGTGGAACAAATTTGAGAACTACCTTTCTCGTTCTCTTGTTCTCGTTCTCTCTCTCTTCTCTTCTTCACCTTCAATGCCGTTGATCTAAGTAGATCTGTGTAGCTCTTATGTCTGTTGTTGATTTTCAAAAACTTGGTTTGTTGTTGACTTGATAGATCAGGTATTATTGTTTGGATATGTTGTCTGTGTTTGAACAAATAGATCTGTTTAATATATATATATATATTGTTTGTAATTCTTGATTGTTTTTTGTTGTTGTTGTTTAGCCCTGTTGTTTGTGTTTGAATAGATAGATCGGTTTAATAGACAAATTCAAAATATATTTCAAAATTTGACCAGATAGAAAAATATAGATATATATGTATGTAATATGCACAGATAAGAAATAGACAAACAGGAATTTCAATAGATGACTCTTTGAATTTCAACAGATAGTTTTATATTTGAACAAATAATTTGGTTGAATTATCGAATTATCGAATTATCTTCATGTCATATCTCTATAATTTGTAGAGATAAAAAAATTAAAATACATACATTAAAATAATTTTAACAGATAGAAAAAATAAACCGATAATAAAGTTTGGACATGTATTTGAACTAAAAATAAGGGAAAAAATTGAACAGATAGCCAAAAAATTTGAACAATAGATATAAATTTGAATAGATAAAAAAAATTTGAATAGATATATATAAATTTGAACATATAGGAAAAAATTTGAATATATATATATATATATATAAATTTGAACAGATAGTTAAAGAAAAGTCAGCAGATAAATTAAAGGTTAAAATTGAAAATAAAATGTTCTTCAAAACCAACAAAACAATTCTACCAAACTATATTCATAAAATGTGAGTCTCTCGACCAACAAAAAAAATATCTACCAAACTTGATACCTTATCACTAATTTTCTCTAAATAATATTCTGCTTGTTTGGTTTGAGTTTTCTAAATTCACTTTTCAAAAAATTAAAATTTGTTGTTTTCTGCATTTTTTTGTTTTCACTAATTTTTTTTAATATTTTAGGATTTTTTTAATTGGTTTGAGTTTTCTAAATTCACTTTTCAAAAAATTAAAATTTGTTGTTTTCTGCATTTTTTTGTTTTCACTAATTTTTTTTTTAATATTTTAGGATTTTTAAAATTTTTAAATACACCTAACATAAATACACTTAAAAAGTACAATATTTATGAAAAAAATCTTTAAAAAATTCACTAAATACCAAAAAATTCTAAAAAAAAAATGAAAATTCAACACATTTTTCATATTCCTATATATTTATTGATTTCTTAAAATATTTTTTTTTTATAAATATTTTACTTTTTAGATATATCTAAGTAACATATATTTAAAAAGTAAAATATTACTTAAAATCTTAAAAATATTCAGTAAAAATAAAAAAAAAAAAATTTAATATTTAGAAAATTAAATCTAAAAAATTAAAGGTGAAACACCAATAAATCCCAAATAGTAATCGTATAAATTATTTGGTCCTCTCTTTTTTCTTACAAATCCAAAGGTCCCTTAGTATGAATTATATAAATGGCCAAAATGTGGATTTTCTTATAATGTTGAAATTACTAAACATAACACTTCAAAAAAAACTCTCTATTGTATTTTTTTCAAACGTAACAATCCAATGTAATACGTTTAAAAAAAATTAGTGTATTTTTTCTAAATGTAACACTTCAATCAATGTAACACACAAAAATTTATTACCCAAACATAATACTCCAATGTAATACACTAAAAAATTCCTTAGTGTACTTTTATCAAACATAACACTTTAATCAACGTAACACTAAAAAACTCCTTAATATATTGGCTCAAATGTAATTATGCAACACCATCTCCAACGGTTAAACAAATGCATTACCAAATTTGAATTTGGTGAAAAAGTATATCTTTTTTTGGCTCCAACGATTTTATCAAACTGATATCAAATTAAAAACAGTCCTAAATTTTCACCAAACTGAAGATGGGTTGCACCTTTCAGCAAATTATTGTGCGTAGCCATTGAGTATGGATCTCCCGGACGACCGGCCGAACGTCTTCCCGGATGACCACCCCAAGCAAAATTTTGTAAAAAATTTACACTAGAAAGTCGATCCCCTGGTTGACCACCTCTTTGTTTTCTCAGTAAATAAATAAATAAAATAGGGGGAGAGAGAAAGATCAAAGTATACCTCAATAGCAAAGTTGAAGAAGAAATCAAAAATCAACCAAACAAATACATACAAGTCTTCGTAATGATGTATAATCAAAAATCCAGAAGCAGAAACTCCATTAAATCTGAAATCGATAAACAAAAACTGAATATTTCTTCCTACTATAAATTTTCACTCAAGTTTGATGTAGTGAAGAGAGAGAAGGAAGGATGTGATGCTAGTATAATAAAAATGGTTCGTTTGTAAAGGGATTATAAAGAGAGAAACAAAGTGAGTGAGGTTTTTTGAATTATTTAAGAATAGCCCCAACACAACACAACAGCCCCAATTGTTTCAAAACCAGATTTTTCATTTTTTTGTATTGATTGGTCGACCGGCCGATCATTTGCCTGGTTAATTGATAGTTTGATGAAAAATCAAATTTCTCCGTTGGAGCAGGCAATATCAAATAGAGGAAATCGTATTATTTTTTACTCAGATTTGATGAAAAATCTGATGAATTATTGGAGATGCTCTAACATTCTAAAAAAAAAAAATTCTTAATGTATTTTTTCCAAACGTAACATTCCAATCAATGTAACACACAAAAAAACTTCTTAGTGTACTTTTTCTAAACGTAACACGTTAATGTAACATACTAAAAAATTCGTTAGTGTACTTTTCCAAACGTTACAACGTATCATTCTAAAAAATTCCTTAGTGTATTTCTTTCAAACGTAACCCTTCAATTAATGTAACACACAAAAACTCCCTAATGTATTTTTTTTTTCTTCTAAATATAGTACTCTAACGTAACACCAGAAAATCATATTATAGAAATGTAGATTTCTATGCTTGATAACCAATATTTCAGCTAACAATTCCTTCAAAAATAATTTTCTACACCTCACATTTTCATTTTCATCTCAAAAATGAATTAAAAAAATTAGAAAAAAAAATCATAAACAAGGCATTCACATAAAGTTAAATGACACTAAATTAAATAAATGTGACTTTCTAAAACATTAATGATTAATTAATTTATAAGAAAACCTTAAGATTAAATAAATTAATATTTCTCGAGATTTATAAGTAAATTTTTTTAAAATTAAAACCAATGATTAATTAGCCAAATATAAACATTTTTCTAATTTTATTTTCAACTCAACGCAGCCTCATTCTCACTGAACTGAATTTTCTCTCTCCGCCTATACATACATATACACACATATATTGATCGTCTTCCCCAAACGTCGAGGTCACGACGAAAACACACAAAAACCAAAGCACATTCTCAAATGCCATCTTTGTTAGCTGCTCAAACAAGGAAACAAACCCCACAATACTTTACACATATTCTCTCAAACCCTAACATTCTCTTCCATTCCATCACATATATGAAGAAGCTCTGACAACTCAGACTGAGACATCTCAACAGTTTCAGGCAAAGTCACTGTCATTCTCTATGCTTTTCAATTGTTTTCTAGCTGTTTTGTAGCATTAACTGTTTGTCTGACAGATCTGTTGTGGTTGCTATATTGATGTGGAAATTTGCGATCTTGTTTTGATCTAATTGTGGTAGGGTCTTGAAATGTAGATCTGATTTAAGTTTGCGTAATTGCGCTTCGATTTTGCTTGTGTTCGATCTGGAAATTTAGGGATCTGTGTTTTGATCGATGCAAGTTCTGGCCTTGAAATGTGAACTTTTATAAGTTGCCAAAATTGAATCGGTAGATTGCTATCAATTTCTTAGACATTTTTGTTTGTTTGCATTTAGGATCTACACAATTGATTAATCAATAGTTGTGCTTATAATATGTTGATGTATTGATGATATGCCAATGTTTTATTTTTTGCTCATGGGATTTACTGCCAGTTGTTCTTAGTTTTACACTCTCTCTCTCTCTCTCTATTTATATTTTATTTTTATTTTTAAATCCATATCTGAAGTTCCACTTGTAATTTTAAATTTTTTAAAGCTTACATGCACATGTACATTCGTGTGGTTTAAGGATTCAGTAGAATAGTGCAATAGCTATGCCAGCAATGATTGTTGTGATAGCTACTATACGTAAATAAATGCTATAATTTTGTGGAAATCGAATGATTTTTTGTGTCTTTTTCAGAAAATTTGGGTGCTGAAGTGGACAAAAATCTTAAACTTGTATTCTGAAGTGTATGGATTCTCTTATGGAGGAGGAGGAATAAAGATTCGCCTGCAATCAAATATTGTAAATACAAATGAAAATGGTTCCTTCTAGCAAGGCTGATAAGAAAGCAGCAGTTGATGCGGCTGCATGGATGTTCAATGTAGTCACTTCTGTTGGGATTATCATTGTCAATAAAGCCTTAATGGCCACATATGGCTTCAGTTTTGGTAAATTTTATATCAATGTCTTCAATATTTTCTTTGATCAATTGTACTATGCTTTTTGTTACATAATTTTTTTTCCCATTCCAATGATTAGAGAATTTTGAATGAATTTTCAATCAAATGATGGATGGGATGGTGCATTCAGTTTGGATTGGGACTCATAGGGAGATCTATGGTCATTGCCTTCAAAAAATTATGAGAAAATTGAATTAGTGATACTTAAGAATCAGAGGAATTATTGTTAGTTGGATATGGACATGGTGGGCTCATTTGGGAACTTAGCTATTTTAGTTAGTTTTTTAGTTATTTTAGCATGGCTATAAAAGTTGTGTTTTGGATGATAGTTATTTATTTGTTTATTTTTGTAGTTGATTTGATGGTTTGTGAAAGAAAAAATGAAATGATTATAGTTTGAATACAACATTTTTTCTTATTGGCTATTTTAGCATTTTTTGTGTGTGTGTCTTTATTGGCTATTTTAGCCCCAAACTTGCATCCCAAACACCCCCCGTATCATAGATTTGCTTTTATCATGCGGTGTTCCCAACTTCCATCACCAATTATTGTTTTTCAACACTGGCCAGTATTAATTGTTTGAATCGCAATAATGGTGCTTCCAAGCATATGAAAATATAGTTTGGGACATATGATTGCTAATATACATGCAATTTTTATCTTGTTGAAGGGTGCTTCATTCCATTATCTAAGTTATAATAATTAAAAAACTTCTTGATTATAGGGTTGTTTACGGGTCGGTGTCAGTCAGGGTCCACGAAGACAAACAGGGGAAAAAATAACTTGGAAATTTCCACATCCGAGAAAGAGAGAGATAAAAAGATGGATATATATGTTACAAGTTGCAACTGGAAAAGGTGGATATGGGGGATGGAGACTAGAGAGGGGTAGTGGGTGTGGGAGACCGGAGAGGGGAAGGGGGTGAGGGAGAGGCGGCCGTGATTAAAAAAATGCAATCTAACCCAAAAATAAAAGCAAGCTGCAGGTTGAAAGTTGAGAGTGGATTTCCAGGGGAGACCGGACGGAGAGAATTGTCGTCAAACGAAATGGTGGTAGAAGAATCGCAAAACCAGAGCTGGCAAACATGGAGCCTGTAACCATCCCATTCGAAGTTTGAGAGAGAGAGAGAGAGAGAGAGTGATCTCTGGTAAAGTATAATTGTTAAGGCCATGTTTTGATAAGGTAGAGAGATATAAAGTGGTGATGATAATAAGTAATATAGTCCTCCAATCAAATAAAACCATATAAAATGTAATCTTCACAGCTAATAACATAATGCCACGTGTTACATAGTTATGCATCGGTTGGTTTGGTTTCCACACAAAATTTCCTCCCAAAACTGTAAACTGAATGTTCCTAGAATTTTTTGACACTTTTAAACTGCAACCGACCGCTGGGTTTCACAAAGCCAACCGTTTTTTTATCAACTCGGTTCAGATCGGTCGGTTTTTTCGGGTGAGCTGGGTCTTTGAACCGGCCTACTGGATTATATTGATATTGAGACCAAGGTTTGGTTCATTGTTTTCTTGTCCACAGACAAAATAGAGTCAAACAAATGTTGATAAAAGTTAACAGTGTCTGCATGCAGTGATGAACCCTGTGTTTTTTTATTGATGAACATTTTAGTTTTAAGATTAGTAATCTACATTCATTTTTTTATTTCTAGTTTTCGACTCTTTATGACTCTTAACTATTCTGATATTGGAAACTTCGAAAAAGAAAATCAACTTATGCTTTTAGTGGATTTGATACAGTCCTGATGCTCAACTAGAATAGTATCTGAAACTAGGATAGTGTGAGTTTCTTGTTTGTTGATTTGATTTTTCTTTGAGCTAAAAGTGTATGAATAGCTATCAATTAGCTTCTTTTTTCCTAATGTCAGATGAATTATCAACTCATCTCAATTTAGTAATTTGTAATTTAATAATGACAATTCATCACTGGATGAGCTTAGATAGCAGGCTAAGATTGACCTGTGAAATAAATAACAGGCCAAGATTGTCTAGGATCATGGAACACTACTAGGTTAGGTCAATATAGAGTACATGTGGTTTCTCTATATATGCAAATCTAAATCTATAAAAAAAAAATGTAAATGAAATTTGTAGTGAGGATACAAACTAAAGACATTTTTTCAAAACCTTGGTATTGGCTTAACTACAAACAAAACAACTGGGAACAACCTAGATGTTGGTATCAGAAACAAATATACAGCTTTTAGAATGCTGTGTGTAATGTAATCATCATATGCTTATCAAAATAATGAGGCAAGAATATGGAATATAGTCTTTGATCAGTTATGACCAAAGTCAGCATTACATAGCAATGGATGATCCCATGGTCGTTGATTGTTTCAGCAGATTGTTGCACAAAATGTTGTGGCAATCATAATAGATGTTGGCAAATTGTCTGATAACGTCCTGAAAATACAACAATGACATGCGAGGGTACAAATTAGGAAATTTCAGAAGGTGTGATGCCTAGGCAGGAAATTTGAAGAACTTGGGTTAAAGTGAAAAGAAAGAAAAGTCATTTTGTACGATATGCATGTAAAAAAGATCTGAGAAAGTTGTTCTCCCTGGCTAGTCAGGATATGGCTTTTTGTGATGATTTGATGACAACAAATGATGATATGGCTTTTTGTTGCTAAGTGGGAAGATCTAGGAGTGTTATTTCATTTTATGTTTGTCCTAGTATTCGTTTATCATCAGATTGTTTTAGCTTGTGATTGCTACAATCCTTGCAGCTACAACGTTAACTGGTTTGCATTTTGTTACCACCACCTTGATGACTGCTGTTCTTAGGTGGCTGGGGTACATCCAACCTTCTCATCTACCCTTGCCAGAGCTTCTGAAGTTTGTTCTTTTTGCAAACTTCTCTATTGTTGGTATGAACATTAGTCTAATGTGGAATTCAGTGGGATTTTATCAGGTAAATTTTTATGTGCTCTGGGTTTTGGATTTCATTATATTAGAATAATTTTTGAAGTTACATACTCTCCAACGTATTGTCAGATTGCAAAGCTGACTATGATCCCTGTCTCCTGCTTATTGGAAGTTGTTTTCGACAAGATCCGATACTCAAGAGACACAAAGCTCAGCATTGCAGTTGTTCTCTTGGGTGTTGCTGTCTGCACTGTTACTGATGTGAGTGTTAATGCTAGAGGTTTCATTGCTGCTCTTGTTGCAGTTTGGAGTACTGCTCTACAACAGTATGTAAGTTGTTTGTTCCACAACTTAAGATCTTATATATTTCCACTAACATAAATCATATATTTTATTATTATCTTACTTGCACTTTCTTGAGTTATCTTGATTGCATACCCATGCAGAAGCACGTAGCCTGAGCGCATGTACAATGTTCTTTATTGTAGCATTGTTTTTAAGACTAACCAACGAAGTATCTAATATTAATTGTTAAATTTTACCTATCTGGTAGTTACATGCTCATTGGACTTCTCTTGATCATATAATTCCCTCAAAATGTTGTCCCTTATCTTCAAAAAGTCAGTTTAATGACTTTTTTGTATGTGCAGTATGTACATTACCTCCAACGGAAGTACGCACTTAGTTCTTTCAATCTGTTGGGTCATACTGCACCAGTTCAGGCTGGAACACTACTGCTAGTAGGCCCTTTTCTGGACTATTGGTTGACAAACAAGACAGTTGATGCCTTTGACTACAACATAGCATCATCGGTAAGCATTGGTACAACCTGTAGTCAAAATTCTTGTATGTATATATGTTTGGGTTGTCATTTGTCCTGCAATAATCATCTTCACATCACGGGCCTAGCTTCTGATCTATGCACAATATGAATCTCTCTGTATATATTTTTTTAAACGCCTGTTCACGTCTTACTTTTAAGCATCTCTCAGTTATGAAAAATGTTCCTCTTTTTGGTCTTATTTACTCCCTATCTAGCTTTATGAACGCTGCATGGTGTAAGATTTAAGGGTCTTGTACTGGAATCCAAGTTGATTTGGTTGTGTGTATTGGTTATATGATTTTCAGAATCAATCATTATATTTCTGTTTATCTCGTGCTTGTAATCTGTTCTACCATGCAATTGTGATGGTACCCCTCTTTCCTGTCCTTTCTGGAATGCAAAGAACATAAGAGCGAAAACTTAGCAAAAGAAGAAAAAAAGGAACAAAGGGAAGAAATAGAGGACATGACTGCCTGTAGAGTCGAGGTTGAGGTCATGAAATCTAACTTGTATGATATTAAGGACAGTCTCTTCTCTTGTGCTGTCATGCTACTTTTACATCTGTATGCATGTAGAGTCTCTTTGTGTCATGAAAAAGATCTGAACTTGCTTTTCCAATCAAAGTCTTCTGATAAGAAAATTGGCCTCTGTACTCATTTTTCAGGGAGAAGCCTCATCACTGCCCCAATTTAAGTGTACACGTGGCATTCAAGAATGGGTTAAAACTGAATTTGTTATTTGACAAAAGTAAAAATAAAAAAATCACCAATCTGCATGCTAGAGCATGATCCAGCCACTATGTTGCACGGATTAGGTGACTTAGGAGATGAATAACAAAGGGAGGGGTATATATGGAGAGGTACATACACAAAGCTTTTGAATGTCTATTGCTATATTGAAAAATAATAAATGTAACACTCCATTGATCTTAATACACCAATGTTGCTTTCTTGCACATTATGTTCATGGCACAAGGCTTTTATATGTTTCCACATATGGATGATTCCTTAGCTGTAGATACCGGTTTTCATTAGCTTTACAAGAACGGTCTGTCACAATTATATCACCGTGCTGTTTTCTGCAGGTGTTTATAATCCTCTCATGCACTATTGCAGTAGGGACTAACCTCAGCCAATTTATCTGTATTGGAAGATTTACAGCAGTGTCCTTCCAAGTACTCGGTCATATGAAGACGATCCTAGTTTTGATCCTCGGATTCATATTCTTTGGAAAGGAGGGCCTAAATATACAAGTGGTCATAGGCATGGTCATCGCTGTAGTTGGAATGATTTGGTACGGAAATGCTTCATCGAAACCTGGTGGAAAGGAGCGTCGAAGCCATTCAACGTCTAGCAGCAGACAACAGAAACATGGCGGTTTATCAGAATCTTCAGAAATTGATGACAAGGTCTAAATCCTTTCGAGAGTACAGGTTAAACATACAAGGGTAGGTTATACCAGCATTTTTTTTAAAAAAATCATCTGACGCTAGATACACCTCCCAAACCCCAATTATTTACAGATTCTTCCTAATTTTGTAGTTCTTATGTTCATTTTCTTGATATTAAATCCCTTCAAGGTGATGGATACTTTTGGATAGGGTTTATATTCCCCGAGAATTTTCATGTTTCCATGATGATAATTTATAGAGTGATTTTTTTTTTTTTTTAATTTTTTTAATTTTTCTGTTAGAGAATGAATGTAATGATTATGAATTGGATGTGATGTTTTGTCTTATTGAGTTAAAAAATCTATTTTATTTTTCTTTAAAAACTATTTTAACCAAAAAAGTTGAGATTTTTTCTTCCTAGGCCTCGTTTGGGGACGGACTATTTTAGTCAAAAAGTCAACTAAAATTAGTTACATCATCTCTTTACTTTTCTGCACATTTTTTCATAAAAAATCAAAAAATTACTAAAATAACTTGTTCCTAAATGAGATATGAGATGGAAGAAGCAACGCAACAACGTCAAGATAAATAAAATAATAATAAAAGAAAAAGTTGTTGGACTTTGGTTAAGGTTAAGTTTGGCAAGTCTATAAAAAATTAAAAAGTTAAAAAGTTATTACTATTTATCAAAAGTTAAAAATTATGACTGCACAATTCCCAATCCTAATTTTTTCTTACACACTAATTTATACAATTTTTTAATACACATTTTCCATAAAAAGTCAAAAAGTTAATCCAAACATTCATATTTTTTTCTTCAATTTTTTAGTTCAAAAAGACAAAAAATACATTTATTTAAGACACCCCAAACAACTCCTAAATGAGCACCCTCATGCCACAAATAAAATAATAACAAAAAGAAGTGGTCGGGCTTAATTGATTAAAAATGACCACCGTCAAGCCCTGTAATAATTTTCTTTCAAAATCTTGTGATAATTTTCTCTCACAAACTGATCTAAAAATAAGAATTTTGTGCAGAATTCACATACAAAACAATGCAACTTTGTAGCCCCGTTTGATAGTATTATGGGAAAGTGATTATAAATTATAACTTAACAGATAAAATTTGATCAATTGAGAGGAAGAGAGGCGTGCTAAGTCCTTAATAAATGAGATCATGTTTATTAATTTGAGTACTGAGAAGGATCCTGGCTTGATACAGATTGGTTCTACATTGTCTTCGGCGCGAGCGACTAGTCGATTTCTTAAAAGATTTCAAAAAAATATTTTGCATGGTTCCGCGAAGACCTTTATGGAAATAAACATGGAAATTGATCATTTT